TATTTAGATCCGACGGCCCAATTATATATAATCGTCGTTTTTCTATTTTATTATTTGGATAATAATTCTTTATTTCAATATGAATTCACATTCTTTTATCTTTAATCTTTTTCGTGAACAGAAAAGACTAAGACATAGACAGGTGTAAAAAACTAAAAAGCCCTGGTTTATTGGATAGATACAGAGAATTTTGCTGTTTGGCTGGTGGGAAAATGGGAGCAATGTGGCGATGGGACCCCAAGCCTAAAGAAACACTTGCAGTTCACTAATCTATTGAAGCCATCAAATCAAAGAATTGTCAAAAAGTAATGTGAAAATGAGAAGAGTAAGGTGGCCAGCCAGTGCTTTCAAAAGAAGGGGTCAAGGATTTGCCACCTACTTTAGCACTGGCTAAAAGGGGCCTACTATTATTATGGGAACATTACAATATCAATGCATAATATTAAGCATCCTTTTAAAAAATGTATAGCCTCCATCCACATGAAAAATTATCAAAGCAAAAGGCCAGAAAGAGACTAACTAATTTGACAACACCCTGGCCTCGCATTTGAGCAGGGCTGAAAGGGGGACAATAAACTCTGCTAACTCTCTTCACCATCCAAGGCCTCATCTTCGCCTCGCAAAGCAACTGCATTACATAAATAAATAATGGGTAACTTAAACTGGCTCAAAATAACTTCGGAAAAAACAGGAACAAAGCATAAGGCATTACAAAGCGAAATGAGAAAAAATGGACAATCAAAACAAAAAAAAAGTAAACTACAAACACATAAATGAAATAGTGGGGAAAGAGACTACTAGGAATTTACTAAATGAAGGTTAAAAAACAGTATGATTTAAAGCAACTCCTCCCCAATGGAGACAACTCTGAGTACACTCCAATACTATCACTTCTACACTGAAAGGATATTGTTGCAATGATAAGTAGGAGACTATGAAACAGTAATAAAAGAGATCATAAATCCAATTCATTTTTCTGAGTCAATATTTTATAGCCACAATGAAGTTCTAATACAGAATAAAAAGTGCAGCAAATATATCCACATTCACCAAAATTGCTGAATACTTTTCAAATTGGCATCAAAATATATATAGAAACTGATTTCTCCAGCCACCATGTAGATCCTCATATATATCCACATTCACCACATTTTGATTGTGCATCAAAGTACACAAAATCTCATTATCCTACCGTGGTATTTTAAATGCTGTCGTAAGCTGTTGCCAACAGCCAAATAAGCAATGTTAGAGGCTGGATTTGTAAGTTTCAAACTTTGACGTTTCAGCCAAATTATCACAGATTCAATAAAAATTAAATTCCTCTCAAATCAGGCACCAAATTTTTCACTCAAAAGAAAGGTGGGAGTACATACACCCCTACAGGTAACCCCCCTCTCAATTCCATCAAGCAGCATTCCGTTCTAAGAAAAAGCAATTTACTTTTCGTGGAGACTTCAAACATATTTGAATATCAGCCATACTGGTCATAGAAAAATACATTCAATTAAGCAATTCTGTTGTTTTGGCATAGAGTAATCACCAACTAGAGAAATCACATACCAAATAAACACCCATTTAAGAGAATGGAAGGGAAACGGTAAAGGAAACTCCTTTTTTATTTTCTGGTAAAATTACCTGCAAAGAATGAGAGGGGAAGAAGAGGGATCTACAATTCGAGCTTGAGCTCTTCACTCTCATCGAAGAAATAGTGAAGAACGTAAGGGGTAATGCGAACCGCGGCGACCCAGGCCCCAAATAGGGCAGCGTGAACCCTTAGCTGCTTCAAGGCGGTGGCCTTGTCTGGCTTGCGCATAACGAGTCCTGGAAACATGGCTGCCCTCTGATTTCTATCTCGTCTGCTGAAGCTTAAACCCTAGATTGGTTAGAACTTAGAAGCGGTCTCTTACTCAAGAACAGGTTCAGTGCGGTTTGGGGTTTTAATTAAGGCGTCAGCGAACGGGGAAGAATCGTTGACACGTGCTAACTATGTTGTCTCTTCTTCTTCCTCTTCTTCTCCTCCTTTTTTTTTTTTTTTTTTTTAACATAATACTAATTTTCAAGTCTTTATCATATAATTTTTAGGTTAATAATTTAAATCATACCATTTGAATTTCACAATATATTTTTATAACTTATAAGTAAAACCAAAAGAAGCAAAAAAATTATATTCCCTTGAAATTAGTCCAGATCTTCCCAGCTGAAACAGAGGAGGTAAAAAGAAAATTTATATATATAAAGAGAGAAATCTTAAAAAAAAGAGTCATACTGTATATTATTTTTATAAGTCTTTCTTAATTTTTTTTTTTTGGTTACCATGTCTCAATATTTTTTTTTATTTAGTAAATTTACGCTTTTGCTTTACATTTTTTTCCCTATTCATTAATTTCAACTTACCATTTCTTGTCGTTAAATTTAATTCACATTTCACTTTTCTTTATCGCATATTCTTTTTGGCATACACTCTTCCTTTTTGTTTTCCATTTTTCCCCTTAACTAATTAATCAAACTTTAATTACAATTTTTTATTTAAAAGATATGCTCACTAATTTATGATGATTTAAATTTTTAAAAATTTTTTAATATGGTATGTCTATTAGTTTTTTTTATTTAGTGAAAATTTAATTTTAAATCTTATATAAATAAAAAAAAGTTATAATAAAATACATTATAAATATATCAAAATTTCTATAATGTTTATAATACTATTTTATGATATAATAGTTAAAATATTAAATTTTTATCAATTACTAGTAGTTTAATAAATTATTATAAAATTAAAAAGTGACAATCAAAAACTCTCCTTTTATTTTTCTCACTATATTGTTTATAATTAAAGATGAACATATTTTGTTCAATTCTAAATTACTTGGTATTTAAAATTATTTTTTAGTTGATTAATACAATTAAAATTTTAATTAATTGAAATATTTCACTTTGATTAATGATTAAAGATCACAATATTTTTTCACTTGAAAAGATTAAAGGAATTTGGTTAATTACATGAACTCTAGTAATAAAAAAAAAATCAAAATTTTAGTAATTAAAACTAAAATTTTGAATTATTTTTAGGTATTAAAAGAAAAATAATTAATCAAAGTAATGAAAGAAGAGAGAGGAAGAGTTTTGTTTATTGTTATTTTTTAATTTTAATATTCATTTAATTAAAATTAATAAACACTTAACAATTTAATTAGAGAAATGATTCACACACCTGTGATTTGATACCTAACATTTACGATCATAAAATAAATTTCCCTAAATCCTTAACTTGCAGTCATCCACGAACTTTGGGCCTATTTGTGCACTCAAACAAAATGCAACCTTGGTTTTTTCCTCTCTTTTCTCGGAAACCAAGCAGTAAAACCATCACAAGAAATTTGAGGAATTAAAAAAGAATCATAATCAATTCAACTAAAAGATGAACAAACAAAATCATAATCAATTCAACTAAAAGATGAACAAGACAATATCATAATTTTACAATTAAAATCGGTTCACATTTATTATATAAAACTACTACAAAATTTCAATCTCTTTCATATTTTCTATTATTTTTTCAGAAACCAAACAACTAACACCACAAAACAATTATAAGTGATCATTTTGAAACAAATCCATATTTTAATTACCTGCAAATGAAATTAATTAACGACAATTTTCTATAATCTCATATGAATTTCATTACAAAAATCAAATCTCAATTTTCTACTGCTGCCTCTGCTCATCTTCATGTTCTGCTACCCCACCGTGGGTTGCAACAACAATGCCATAAATGGCATGTGGCTGGATACTGAACAGTGATCGGTTGGCACAAGCCCAGCCGACAGCTCAGTGGAGGTGGCATCGAGAACATCGACATAATAGCAGTAGCAACGCTACTCCCCACGGCATGCAGTTGGCACCACACGGACGAAGTAGCGGAGCTCGTGGACAGACCCGCCGCGCGGAGGACTTGCTTCTTACACTTTTTGGATCATGGGTGGGATGTTTGATTTTATCATTCACGTTAGCCCTTCTAAAAAGCAATGAAGGTTGAAAGTTAAACCCAAGTTTTTGCTATTCTATATTTATATTCTTCTAATTGAATATGTGTTGTGTGCTTCATTTGTCATCTTGATTGAGGGGATTTGTAAATTTTCATGGAAGTTATAAGAACTTTACGTATTCATTTTTTGAGGTTTTTCTATCAAACCCAGATGCGTGGTACGAATCCTACACAAGTACACAGTTTAAAGTGTACTATTATTTTGTGATTCCAGATAAGTGCATAATTCAGTTTATTCATTCATTAGTGCTTTTAATAAGTATGTATCATTTACATTCATATTTTTCCATGAAAAATAATATTTTGACAAGGTTTTTTTTTTATTTTTTAATTCTTTAGTTTTGGAAACCATAATGGAATTTGTAACTGGGTTGTTGTTGATCTTTTTCTTTTATTATATGGAAGAGTTCTTGTGTTTGGTTAATTAATAATTATAAAAAAAATAGAATATAAAACTGAAGTGTTGGATACAAGATTGTTATTTTATACTGTTTCTTAGGTTTGAGAAGAAAAAAATAAAAAGAACTTGGTCAAAATAGCACAATAAGAGCAAAGCACTTTCCTTTTTAGTCTTTGGTCACTGTAACCAAGAATTTTTTTTGCTAAATTCACAAATTTGGTGAAAGAAGGTTTTTGACCGGTATTCAAATTAATGTCTTTTAGTGCTGAACCTTTTTATTTTCTTGGCATATATATAAATATAATGTCAATTGTTCAACCAATGAGAAGGGAGCATTATATCATTTTTCTTTTGATTTTGGGATTGAGAAATTGTATGTATCTCTTCTCTATGTTTTGTTTTCTAATAGAGCATTATATCATTTTACTTTTAATTTTAGGATTGAGAAATTATGTGTATTTCTTTTTTATGTTTTGTTTTTTAATAGAGCCATGGGAAGACTTAGTTAGGAGAAATTGAATGCTCCTTTTTAAAAGATTTAAAGGAAATTTGAAAAGCTTAAAACAATTTTTGAAGGTGCATCTATTCATAGCCAAAGAAATAATAAATTTTTAACTTTATTTTTAAATATTATGTTATATGTAGTTTGTCTAAATATATTTTTTTCTTTTTTTAAGAAATTTTTAATATTAATCTCACCTTATAATGCAAAATGTTAAAGAATGTGTTTTTTCAATAAATTTTTAATTGTTTTCTTTTTCATTTATTATTATTTGTTAGGTATTATTATTTTTCATTTTTGCAAATGTGATTATAATCTAATTTTAGAAACAAATAATATTTTTTTTACTACCATAAAAAAATAAATTCCACAATAAAAAACCTAAAAAAAATTAAAAATATAAATATTTTATTATAAGAGACCGTGCAAAGCGGGCGATTGTCCAGCGATGATTCATGACTGGGCTCCCAATCTGGAATTCTGAAGTGATGTGACGTGATTCAGTCTTTTTTTTTGGCGCTAAAAATCGTGATTCCAGTCTTATCTTTACTGAAAATGAAAATATTAATTCATTTTCTTCCGTGCCAAAATAAATAATTATAATTTATTTTAACTGCCTGTCAGGTAGTTAATGTATTAATTATAATTTGTTTACTTATTGTGATAAAAAATAAAAATTAATTATAAGTTTAATAATTATTTAATTAAAATTAAATATGTATTATGGTATTTAAAATAAAATTAATTTTTATTTTTATATAAATTAATAAAAAAATAATTAATATATTATTGATTTATACCTCTACAATATAGTACACTGTATATACTTTTCAAATCAGTTCGGATGATGTTAAAAAATTTATTGATATTGAAAAGTTATCGGACACTGCAAACTTTTCAAATCAATTTGATTGGAGTTGGAGAGGATGTATACATGTAAATATATTTTGATTCATATTAAAAAGTGTTTTTGATATCGAAATTTTTTTTTAAAATGACACAAATATATTTGGTAAAAATATGACATAAGGACCTGAATTTACACAAAATTCATAATTTTGGACTCAAACTTCAATTGCACTCAATTAAGGTTTTGAACTACATAAAATTCTCAAATAAGGTCCCAATTGTACGGAAAACTAACTTCCGTCAAATCTTTTACAAACACCGTTAATGTCCTTCACCTCGTTAATGCCTGTCCCCTAGTTTTTTTTTTCTTTCTTTCCTCTCTTTCTCCTTTCTCTTTCTCTTTCCTCATCCTTTTCTTCTTCCCCTTCAACTTCCACTGGGTTCTTGAACCTAGCAAACCTAGGAACCCAATTGGTTTTTTTTTTTTTTAATGAAAATCTTCACCTAATTCAATACACAAAAATTGCAAATTTCATGGTTCCAAAATTGAATCAACATCTGGGCATTTCCTAGCATTGACTTATTTGAACAAAAATCAAGAATCAAAAACACAATTTTGTGCAAGAGAGTCCAATCACAATCTGCCAGCATCATCCTCATCATTGTCTCCGTTGCTCTTCTCCTTAGAGCCTTCCTCAACCTCCTTTTCCTGACCAAATCCCCCGTCCACTCTCTCCCTCCAGGCCCCTTCGCCATCCCCATTGTCGGCCCCTTCCTATGGCTCCGTAAACTCACATCCACCTCCGAGATGGAACTGATTCTCCACAAACTCCATGCAAAGTTTGGCCCAATGGTCACCCTCAAGATTGGTTCTCGCCCTACTATCTTCGTCGCCGACTGCTCCCTCGCCCACCAAGCCTTGGTCCAAAACAGTGCCATTTTCTCCATTGGGTTCTCGAACCGAATCTGCTGGGTTCGTGAACCCACCAGCCACTGGGCTCTTGAACCTAGCTTGGAAGAACCCATCGGCTGCTGGGTTCCTAGGTTCGCTGGGTTCAAGAACCCAGTA